CGGGTTGTTGTTTTTTTTAGGGCGTGGGGGCATGTTAATATTCCCTTGGTCACTCAGAGATATCTGATTGCTGTCCTGCACACTGGGGGTATGCGAGCAACATTGTTACTGGAGAGATGTCTGTCTGCAGGGGTTTGCTGGCTGGAGAGATGTCTGTCTGTAGGGGTTTGCTGGCTTGAGAGATGTCTGTCTGTAGGGGTTTGCGGGCTGGAGAGATGTCTGTCTGTAGGTGTTTGCTGGCTGGATAGATGTCTGTCAGTATCGGTTTGCTAACTGGAGAGATGTATGTCTGTAGGGGTTTGCTGGCTGGAGAGATGTATGTCTGTAGGGGTTTGCTGGCTGGAGAGATGTAAGTCTGTAGGGGTTTGCTGGCTGGGGAGATGTATGTCTGTAGGGGTTTGCTGGCTGGAGAGATGTATGTCTGTAGTGGTTTGCTGGCTGGGGAGATGTATGTCTTTAGGTGTTTGCTGGCTGGAGAGATGTCTGTCTGTAGAGGTTTGCTGGCTCGAGAGATGTATATCTGTAGGTGTTTGCTGGCTGGAGAGATGTATGTCTGTAGAGGTTTGCTGGCTAGAGATTTGTATGTTTGTGGCGGTTTGCTGGCTGGGGAGATGTATGTCTGTAGGGGTTTGCTGGCTGGAGAGATGTCTGTCTGTAGCGGTTTGCTGGCTGGAGAGATGTCTGTCTGTACGGGTTTGCTGGCTGGAGAGATGTCTGTAGTAGTTTGCTGGCTGGAGAGATGTATGTCTGTAGCGGTTTGCTGGCTGAAGATATGTATGTCTGTAGGTGTCTGCTGACTGGAGAGATGTATGTCTGTAGGTGTTTGCTGGCTGGAGATATGTATGTCTGTAGGTGTCTGCTGACTGGAGAGATGTATGTCTGTAGGTGTTTGCTGGCTGGAGAGATGTATGTCTGTAGGTGTCTGCTGGCTGGAGAGATGTATGTCTGTAGGTGTCTGCTGGCTGGAGAGATGTATGTCTGTAGGTGTTTGCTGGCTGGAGATATGTATGTCTGTAGGTGTCTGCTGACTGGAGATATGTATGTCTGTAGGTGTCTGCTGACTGGAGATATGTATGTCTGTAGGTGTCTGCTGACTGGAGAGATGTATGTCTGTAGGTGTTTGCTGGCTGGAGATATGTATGTCTGTAGGTGTCTGCTGACTGGAGATATGTATGTCTGTAGGTGTCTGCTGACTGGAGATATGTATGTCTGTAGGTGTCTGCTGGCTGGAGAGATGTATGTCTGTAGGTGTCTGCTGGCTGGAGAGATGTATGTCTGTAGACGTTTGCTGGCTGGAGAGATGTATGTCTGTAGACGTTTGCTGGCTGGAGAGATGTATGTCTATAGCCGTTTGCTGGCTGGAGAGATGTATGTCTGTAGCAATTTGCTTGCTGGAGAGATGTATGTCTGTAGGTGTTTGCTGGCTGGAGAGATGTATGTCTGTAGAGGTTTGCTGGCTGGAGAGATGTATATCTGTAGGTGTTTGCTGGCTGAAGAGATGTATGTCTGTAGGGGTTTGCTGGCTGGAGAGATGTATATCTATAGTGGTTTGCTGGCTGGAGAGATGTATGTCTGTAGGGGTTTGCTGGCTGGGGAGATGTATATCTATAGTGGTTTGCTGCTGGAGAGATGTATGTCTGTAGGGGTTTGCTGGCTAGGGAGATGTATGTCTGTTGGGGTTTGCTGGCTGGAGAGATGTATGTCTGTAGTGGTTTGCTGCTGGAGAGATGTATGTCTGTGGCGGTTTGCTGGCTAGGGAGATGTATGTCTGTTGGGGTTTGCTGGCTGGAGAGATGTATATCTATAGTGGTTTGCTGCTGGAGAGATGTATGTCTGTAGGGGTTTGCTGGCTAGGGAGATGTATGTCTGTTGGGGTTTGCTGGCTGGAGAGATGTATGTCTGTAGTGGTTTGCTGCTGGAGAGATGTATGTCTGTGGCGGTTTGCTGGCTGAAGAGATGTATGTCTTTAGGGGTTTGCTGGCTGGAGAGATGTTTGTCTGTAGAGGTTTGCTGGCTGGAGAGATGTATGTCTGTAGGGGTTTGCTGGCTGGGGAGATGTATGTCTGTAGGAGTTTGCTGGCTGGAGAGATGTATGTCTGTAGGGGTTTGCTGGCTGGAGAGATGTATGTCTGTAGGGGTTTGCTGGCTGGAGAGATGTCTGTCTGTAGCGGTTTGCTGGCTGGAGAGATGTATGTCTTTAGGTGTTTGCTGGCTGTAGAGATGTCTGACTGTAGTGGTTTGCTACCTGGAGAGATGTATGTCTGTAGGTGTTTGCTGGCTGGAGAGATGTCTGTCTGTAGGGGTTTGCTGGCTGGAGAGATGTCTGTCTGTAGCGGTTTGCTGGCTGGAAAGATGTATGTCTATAGCGGTTTGCTGGCAGGAGAGATGTATGTCTGTAGCTGTTCGCTGGCTGGAGAGATGTATGTGTGTAGAGGTTTGCTAGCTGGAGCGATATATATTTGTAGGTGTTTGCTGGCTGGAGAGATGTATGTCTGTTGGGGTTTGCTGGCTGGAGAGATATATATCTGTATGTGTTTGCTGGCTGGAGAGATGTATGTCTTTAAGTGTTTGCTGGCTGGAGAGATGCCTGTCTGTAGAGGTTTGCTGGCTGGAGAGATGTATATCTGTAGGTGTTTGCTGGCTGGGGAGATGTATGTCTGTAGGGGTTTGCTGCTGGAGAGATGTATGTATGTAGGGGTTCGCTGCTGGAGAGATGTATGTCTGTAGTGGTTTGTTGGCTGGAGAGATGTATGTCTGTAGGGGATTGTTGGCTGGAGAGATGTATGTCTGTAGGGGATTGCTGCTGGAGAGATGTATGTCTGTAGTGGTTTGCTGGCTGGAGAGATGTATGTCTGTAGGGGATTGCTGCTGGAGAGATGTATGTCTGTAGTGGTTTGCTGCTGGAGAGATGTATATCTGTAGGTGTTTGCTGGCTGGGGAGATGTATGTCTGTAGGGGTTTGCTGCTGGAGCGATGTATGTATGTAGTGGTTCGCTGCTGGAGAGATGTATGTCTGTAGGGGATTGCTGCTGGAGAGATGTATGTCTGTAGTGGTTTGCTGCTGGAGAGATGTATATCTGTAGGTGTTTGCTGGCTGGGGAGATGTATGTCTGTAGGGGTTTGCTGCTGGAGAGATGTATGTATGTAGGGGTTCGCTGCTGGAGAGATGTATGTCTGTAGGGGTTTGCTGCTGGAGATATGTATGTCTGTAGTGGTTTGCTGCTGGAGAGATGTATGTAGTGGTTTGCTGCTGGAGAGATTTGGGTCATTTTTTTGTGTGTGACTGGGGAGATTTTGGTCTTAAGTGGATTTCCTGACTGGAGGCATTAGACAGAGGTGAATAATGCAGGGTCGACATGCATAGAACTGCAAGGGTACGGTGGAAACAGCTTTGTTTTAGTTGGTTGATGGCCTATTCTCTTTTGGAGCAGCTGCAGCAGAAGAAAACGAAGGAAGTTGTAGAGGAAAAATAAGAAGATGACGACGAAGAGGATGAAGGGAACGAAGCAGAAGAGGAAGAAGAAGGTGATGATAAAGAGCAACGACAACAAGAAGACATAAACAGAACAAGAAGAAGAGCAATAAACCAAAAAGACAAGACGGACTGACGTTTGCCCCACCAGGCCATCACACCGAGCGATTTAAACCTGGTGACACAAAACGCCACCATTCAGATGAGGATTACGCGTGGAGAGGTGCCAGAAATCCCGTTTAACCGTTGACCATAGGGCAGTCTTCGTAAAGCCACGTTAACGTTCGCCAGTCTCCGCCCAACCAATTGAACGTTCCGGTCTCCTTTAAAGCTCATCTCCGTGAACGCTCGACAGTCTCCGTAAAGCTTAACTCCGTAAACGTTCGTCAATCTCCGTTAAAGGCCATCCAGTTGAACGTTTCACAGTCTGTGTAACGCTCAACATCGTAAACGTTCGGCAGTCTCCGGCATTGACTAGCAACCGATTGTTGGCTAGCGTGAGCACCCACGATTAGGCGCAAAAGAGGCTGCAAGGCGGCCGTGCGTGTGAACAGCAACAGCTGGAGCGGGCCAGACATCATGTTAGCCAACCCCCATGGCAGTGTGCAGACAGACAGTCTCGGAAATGTCTGTCTATACGTTCAGGTTCATTCAGAATTGAGGGCTGTCTGTGTGCGCTGTGCATGCGTTTTCACTGAGATACCTGCATGTTGTGGAGTGTCTCCGGTATATTTCAGTCTGTGAGTACATGGACATATGCTATCGTGTGTTACTGAGGAACATTCACGTGCTTCGTTGACCTATTTCAGTTCGTACCGTGGATGTGTATCAGTGTGTATCGTAGACGTCTTGTATGGTCTATCAGTGTGATATGTTAGTGTCAGAGACGTGTGTTGGCGTGTAGCAGTGTTATATGTTAGTGTCAGAGAAGTGTGTTGGCGTGTATCAGTGTGATATGTTAGTGTCAGAGACGTATGTTGGCGTTATCAGTGTGATATTTTAGTGTCAGAGGTGTGTTGGCGTTATCAGTGTGATATTTTAGTGTCAGAAACGTGTGTTGGCGTGTATCTGTGTGATATGTTAGTGTGCTTCAGATATCAAAGACGTGTTTTGGCGTGTATCAGTCTGATATGTTAGTGTGCATCCGAGAAAAGAGTCCTGTGTTGGCGTGTATCATTATCATATGTTAGTGTGTTTTAGAGACGTATGTTGGCATGTATCAATGACGTATATTAGCGTGTATCGGAGTCACGGGTTAGCGTGCAACAGTAACATATGTAAGTGTCTATGAGACGAATGTTAATGTGTATCATTGTATCATAATAGCGTGCCTTGGTGACTTTTGTTAAAATGTGTATCTGAGACGTATGTTAGTGTGGAAATGGACTTGTGTGTCATTGACGTATGTTAGTGTGGAAATGGACTTGTAAGTGTGTCATTGACGTATGTTAGTGTGGAAATGGACTTGTAAGTGTGTCATTGACGTATTATTGCATGCATCATGGATGTTAGTTAGCATTTATAATAGATGTATATTAGCGTGTATTATAGACTATATTAGCATGTATCATAGACGTATATTAGTATGTATCATTGTCATATATTAGCATGTATCATAGACGTATATTAGTATGTATCATTGTCATATATTAGCATGTATCATAGACGTATATTAGTATGTATCATTGTCATGTATTAGCATGTATCATAGACGTATATTAGTATGTATCATTGTCATATATTAGCATGTATCATAGACGTATATTAGTATGTATCATTGTCATGTATTAGCATGTATCATAGACGTATATTAGTATGTATCATTGTCATATATTAGCATGTATCATAGACGTATATTAGTATGTATCATTGTCATATATTAGCATGTATCATAGACGTATATTAGTATGTATCATTGTCATATATTAGCATGTATCATAGACGTATATTAGTATGTATCATTGTCATATATTAGCATGTATCATAGACGTATATTAGTATGTATCATTGTCATATATTAGCATGTATCATAGACGTATATTAGTATGTATCATTGTCATATATTAGCATGTATCATAGACGTATATTAGTATGTATCATTGTCGTATATTAGCATGTTATCATAGACGTATATTAGTATGTATCATTGTCATATATTAGCATGTATCATAGACGTATATTAGTATGTATCATTGTCATATATTAGCATGTATCATAGACGTATATTAGTATGTATCATTGTCATATATTAGCATGTATCATAGACGTATATTAGTATGTATCATTGTCATATATTAGCATGTATCATAGACGTATATTAGTATGTATCATTGTCATGTATTAGCATGTATCATAGACGTATATTAGTATGTATCATTGTCATATATTAGCATGTATCATAGACGTATATTAGTATGTATCATAGACGTATATTAGCATGTATCATAGACGTATATTAGCATGTATCATAGACATATATTAGTATGTATCATAGACGTATATTAGCATGTATCATAGACATATATTAGTATGTATCATAGACGTATATTAGTATGTATCATAGACGTATATTAGCATGTATCATAGACGTATATTAGCATGTATCATAGACATATATTAGTATGTATCATAGACGTATATTAGCATGTATCATAGACGTATATCAGTATGTATCATTGTCATATATTAGCATGTATCATAGACGTATATTAGTATGTATCATTGTCATATATTAGCATGTATCATAGACGTATATTAGTATGTATCATTGTCATATATTAGCATGTATCATAGACGTATATTAGTATGTATCATTGTCATATATTAGCATGTATCATAGACGTATATTAGTATGTATCATTGTCATGTATTAGCATGTATCATAGACGTATATTAGTATGTATCATTGTCATATAGTAACATGTATCATAGACGTATATTAGTATGTATCATTGTCATATATTAGCATGTATCATAGACGTATATTAGTATGTATCATTGTCATATAGTAACATGTATCATAGACGTATATTAGTATGTATCATTGTCATATATTAGCATGTATCATAGACGTATATTAGTATGTATCATTGTCATATATTAGCATGTATCATAGACGTATATTAGTATGTATCATTGTCATATATTAGCATGTATCATAGACGTATATTAGTATGTATCATTGTCGTATATTAGCATGTATCATAGACGTATATTAGCGTGTAACAAAGGCGTATATTAGCATGAATCATGGGCGTTTATTGGCGTATATCCTAGATTTCTGCTTCTGTTGCGCAGGCCCGTGAAAGGAATAATGACGTGTTGTGGTTAGGGCTAGGATATCTGCACTCCTACCACAATCATGACAATGAGGGTTTAGTTGTATAGCAATGTTAGCTCGTTCTTAGGTCACCTTAAACGTAAACCATATGTTTTGTATGTTGTTGTACAGACGTGTTGAACGTAAACCATATGTTTTGTATGTTGTTGTTGCTGTTGTACAGACGTGCCGAACGTAAACCATATGTTTTGTATGTTGTTGTTGTTGCTGTTATACAGACGTGCCGAACGTAAACCATATGTTTTGTATGTTGTTGTTGTACAGACGTGCCGAACGTAAACCATATGTTTTGTATGTTGTTGCTGTTGTACAGACGTGCCGAACGTGAACGATATGTTTTGTATGTTGTTGTTGTTGCTGTTATACAGACGGGCCGAACGTAAACCATATGCTTTGTATGTAGTTGTTGTTGTATAGACGTGCCGAACGTAAACCAAATGTTTTGTATGTTGTTTTTGTTGTACAGACGTGCCGAACGTAAACCATATGTTTTTTATGTTGTTGTTGTACAGACGTGTTGAACGTAAACCATATGTTTTGTATGTTGTTGTTGCTGTTGTACAGACGTGCCGAACGTAAACCATATGTTTTGTATGTTGTTGCTGTTGTACAGACGTGCCGAACGTGAACGATATGTTTTGTATGTTGTTGTTGTTGCTGTTATACAGACGGGCCGAACGTAAACCATATGCTGTGTATGTAGTTGTTGTTGTATAGACGTGCCGAACGTAAACCAAATGTTTTGTATGTTGTTTTTGTTGTACAGACGTGCCGAACGTAAACCATATGTTTTGTATGTTGTTGCTGTTGTACAGACGTGTCGAACGTGAACGTTATGATTTGTATGTTGTTGTTGTTGTTGCTGTTATACAGACGGGCTGAACGTAAACCATATGTTGTGTATGTAGTTGTTGTTGTACAGACGTGCCGAACGTAAACCATATTTTTTTTATGTTGTTGCTATTATACAGACGGGCCGAACGTGCACGATATGTTTTGTATGTTGTTTTTGTTGTACAGACGTGTGGATTTCTTATTTATTGTAGGTGCAGTATTTCCTTTGTCATTTTAACTACAGGGGAAAAGATACATACCTCCATCTTGACAGCAACAGGTCAAAATGAACCACAAGAAAGATAGATAAGGTGGTTGTAGAAAAGAGTAGAATATTCCTCGGCTGAAATAATGGGAAGACAGAAGTAATGCTAATATCTAAGAAAATAATAGTGCCTGGATTTTAAATCTTCAGCGATCTGTGGTCATGTGCGTAATCCACTGTGAGCCATAAACTGGGATGTCATCTAAAGGTCTCTTAGGTTTCCCCAATGGTTGGTTGTCAGGTCTACTGTGTGTGACCACATGTTGCTCTGCAGCTCCGCCAAGAGAGGACAGTCTTGCAGGACATGTCTGGAGTCTGTTCAAAATGAAGACAATCACAGACAGCTGTCTGGCTCATACCTAATTTATAGGGGTGTTTGTTGAGTCTGCAGTGTCTCGTGCGTTGTCCAGTGCGTTGTCCAGTGCGTAAGCTAACAACTGTGACTTAGTCTGTTCTGTTCAGGTGTTTGGATATATAATGAAGGTCACTGGTTGTATTTTAAAACAGGTGCATAAATGTAAGTATCAAATTCGAGATAAGCGTATCAACCATGTGCACCTGTGGAAAGGTGCCCCAGACAGCAGAGCATGTACTCCAGGACTGCACCGAATTTGACACATTAAGGCAAACCTTTTGGCCAGAAAGAACAACAGTGGAACGTAAACTCTATGGACCACTGAATGAATTAACAACAACAGTAAAATTTATACGAAACAAAATTGCTGATATAGACAACTTATTTCAGGCGAACGGAAGAAGAAGAAGATATCACAGAGGTCAAGAACAGAATAGTAGAGGGAAAAACTAAATTTTTTAAAAATGAGGAACGTTAATGGCAATAAATCTTTGTCATTTAAAGTTTAATTTCTTGAAACATGTGGCTTTGGCGTGGGTTGAGGAGAGGCATGATCACCCATCCCAGTCACCAAGGCACTTGATATGATAATGATCTGAGTGGCCTTTTTAGTGATTTCCTGACATTGATTTGGATTGAAACCTTCGTTTCTCTGTGTTTTTTGTTTGTTTTTTAAACCAAATGTCTTGTCTTGTGCTGTGTTCATCATCGCCGTCAGTTTGGCATTAACCGCCTGTTGTCGAGAATGTTCTAGTCTCGATCACTGACATCACTGCTGGCACAATGTCTGGCTCTGGTCACTGACATCACTGTTGGCACAATGTCTGGCTCTGGTCACTTACATCACTGTTGGCACAATGTCTGGCTCTGGTCACTGACATCACTGTTGGCACAATGTCTGGCTCTGGTCACTTACACCACTGTTGGCACAATGTCTGGCTCTGGTCACTGACATCACTGTTGGCACAATGTCTGGCACTGGTCACCGACATCGCTGTTGGCACAGTGTCTGGCTCTGGTCACTGTCATCACTATTGGCACAGTGTTTGACTCTGGTCACTGACATCACTGTTGGCACAGTGTCTGGCTCTGGTCACTGACATCACTGTTGACACAATGTCTGGCTCTGGTCACTGACATCACTGTTGGCACAATGTCTGGCTCTGGTCACTGACATCACTGTTGGCACAGTGTCTGGCCCTCGTCACTGACATCACTGTTGGCACAATGTCTGTCTCTGGTTATTGACATCACTGTTGGCACAATGTCTGTCTCTGGTCACTGACATCACTGTTGGCACAATGTCTGTCTCTGGTCACTGACATCACAGTTGGCACAGTATCTGGCCCTCGTCACTGACATCACTGTTGGCACAGTGTCTGGCTCTGGCCACTGACATCACTGTTGACACAATGTCTGGCTCTGGTCACTGACATCACTGTTGGCACAATGTCTGGCTCTGGTCACTGACATCACTGTTGGCACAGTGTCTGGCACTGGTCACTGACATCACTGTTGGCACAATGTCTGGCACTGGTCACTGACATCACTGTTGGCACAGTGTTTGGCTCTGGTCACTGACATCACTGATGGTACAGTGTCTGGCTCTGGTCACTGACATCACAGTTGGCACAATGTCTGGCTCTGGTCACTGACATCACTGTTGGCACAATGTCTGGCTCTGGTCACTTACATCACTGTTGGCACAATGTCTTTCTCTGGTCACTGACATCACTGTTGGCACAGTG